CCCCGTTCATCAATTGACTGCGAAAGTACTGATGCACTTCATTATTTCCAGTACATGGTATAATGTAACTCGATGTGTTCGTGTTAATTGTTTAAGAGTTTATCGAGTTTGTGTACATCAAAAAATAGACGGATTTATTTATTTGAAGGAGACGAGAAATAAAGAAATTTGAAGCTTTTACGTATTAGAGGTGACTGTTTATATTTTATCTATGCGCGCGCGCGTGAAGGTGTATGTATGCGTGCGTATATGTGTGGACTTCATTATCTTTTAATTAAAACTACAAGTCAATAAAAACAAATTTACAATTGCAAGCTATAATAGAAGTGCCAATAATTATTCTGTCACGAAGTTGCCATCAAGTTGTACATCTTTCTTTTTTTAGGCGCTGTTTTTAGAAAAATCATTATTCCAATATCAGAAATCTGCTATTTTACAACTTAACTGTGATGGATGTTAAAGCACAATTGTACTTTCAAAAATTAGCTTTTTCCACAATATATTTGATTTAATTAAACTATATTAAATAAAGAATCTTTGATGACAAATAGTCTTTGATCAACAATTCCTCTGGATATGATTACTTGTCTATTTATTTTCTTGAATTGTTTAAGAATTATTATATAATTTATAATGAGAAAAGTATTATAAAGTTAATTTAAGAAGAATTCTAAAAGGATCGTACATTACTGTTGTATAGTGATTTGGTCGTTTATATTCTCCGCATCTACAAGACTTTGCAATCAATAATGTCGTACTGAATAATGCAGTAATTTAAAAGCACATTTAATTCAAGATGGATTCGATAATGAGCTTGAGGTGCATTTAATAATATTATGAATTATTAATTATACAAGCGTTCGAAGAATGCATTGCTATTTTGATAGAAATGTGCGACATTGATTGTCACAAGTCCGCAAGTGATTTAAATAATTAACCATGTAATAAACATACAACATACCAGACAATAATTAATTGATAATGAATCGAGATAACTGTATACGAGACCAAACGAAGTGTATGTAGTCATTAGTGTTTTGACATCCTTTGTTGTCATGAAAATGCGATTAGTGCAATGGTCAAACAATTATTCCGATTCCGTGCGAACGCAGTGACTTACATATGGCGTTGTGGATTTGATCAGTATTGAATTTGTTACGATATAAAAATGAATTGATTCGAGTGAGAAGAATACTATCCATAATTAAATTGATAAAATGGTTATTGAATATATTTTAAAACGGAAGTAAATTTGTTGTCACATTATACAATTTTGGCTTTCATGCCTTATTACTGTTTCGTTATATTTAAAAAAAACAAATTTTTTTAGATAAAGGAATGTGGTATTTGCAATTTTATGGTTTTTCCATGCTGTTATTTGCCAATTCTATTTAATGTACATATGTCAGTTGTAATGTTCAAACTAGAATTTTGAATGCACTTGTTTGTTGCATAAAAACGATATTTTTGTCAGAAAGATATTATCAAATTATATAAATTTTTGTCAAATTAATACAAACCAAAATGTATATGTATATTTATATGTATATGTATATGTATATGTAAAATGTATATGTATATGTATATGTATATTTGTGAATGATATATAATAGTCGAATGTAACTTCGATTTCCAAAAAATCAAGCTCCAAGCTTCAAAATATGCAGAGTGTAACAAACATCGCAGAAAGTGAGAAGAAATGTTATAGTAATTGCGTTTTTAACTATAATTAAAATTAACTATTTTCAAGTCAAAAGTAAATAATATTAAAAGACGTCATTCTTTTATATAATACAAATTAATAATATTAAATATAACAAAAAAAATTTTTTTATTAGCAGCAACAGTTAAATATCCGACTGTAAATCATATTTTTAATATTTTAGCGAAGAAATGTTGACATATATTATGTCTCTCTATCCGAATATTTATATACTTCATCTTTTATATATTACAAGTAAATAAATAACATATGGATCAATGCAAATGCAATCACAATAACATTCTGTTACATTCTGTATAGGCAAAATGTATACATATTTTAGTTAAACTTGCATTTGAGATATGTATATTTCTTCCGAACGACTCGACTTTTTGACGGTGAATAACTTATTTTTAACATTGTCAGTAACTAACAGCGAGTTACCTGCCGATATAATTGTACTTGTATTACTTGTATAACTTCATTCGATCCTTGATTTATCTCGCGCTGCGCTTCGCCATTACGATCATTATAATATCGCGGGTAGCGCGACGTGACGATATTTTAGATATTCTGCACAGAGAGTGCGAAGCATATGTTTGCATTCTATTCTTTTTGTACACGAGAATAGTCGTGGGTGTATGTTTGTCCTGGATGGAGAACGGAAGGTGAGTCGTGATCTAGATAATTTTGGATTAACGTTTATTTGAAAGTTGTTAAACGCGCAAGTGTTACGCGACGTTGCGCGGTATACATAAAATACATTAACATATGTATGCATGATATTATGTACAAATAACGATATTCGTTTAAAATAAAGTCGTTTAAAAATATACTGACAACATTCCTACGCTCTAGGTTGCAATTGCACACACAATACGGTATATAGTATAAGAGGTATGTAGAATAGACCTCTCTTATGGTACATTGCGTCCAAGATTCTACAATATTTTAAATACATGTGATTGACATAAATCTTTAAAAAATTATCTTTTTATTTTATATTCTAAACTAAACTTATATGTAAGAACGTATATGAACTTTATATCTCGTAAACTTTTCTGCATTTTTTTTTCAAAATCCTTCATAATATTGAGATTTATATTTGTATTCTATATATTTTAAATTTTTAGTATTAAAAAAATATTTCTTAATCAGGCATGGTTACACTTTGGTTTTCGGCGTTTAATTGGATTACGTCATTCATTCTCGCGCTCTCGTTACTGACTAGAAGCTTACGTATATAAACAAACATATTCAAGCAGTATATATCATATTTCTTATTTACAAATAAAAATTCTCTTTTTTAAATCAAATTTTGATCAAATTTTTCGTGTACAAAATATCAACATCACTTTCACTTGCCTCATGCAAATGAACGGAGTCAATCAAAAATTGGTCGAATGTCTCCCCAGTTTCGAAGCGATTCAAATGCTTACATGCGGATTACATCGTGATTTTTCAGTCGTTTTAGGAAGATCATTTGCATAGGCCGATCTCAGAGAGATGCTGTAACCAGATGCGAATCGTGCTCTTCGCTGACAGGGGTCGATGGAGCCTCAGTGATCGGCGTGGGTGGACCCCCGGTGCTACATTGGTGATCCGTCGTGCCTGTTGCACAAAATAGTTTTTATGACAATGCTATAAATTTTATTTTTACTTTGTCTTTTATCTTTCAACAGCTATAATCTTATTTTTCCAACTTTATTTAATTCGTTGTATTTTATTTTTTACTATACAACGATCTTATAAAGTTGATAATTAATATTTACTTTTATATAAGTAATTTTAATCTATATAAATCTTTTTTGTTAATACAATTGTTGCGGCATGAATAAAAATACGTAAGGCATTATATTTAATTTTTAATTATTCGTATATTGTCTCACCTGTAAAAGAATTGGAGCGGCTTCGATCCGGCCAGCAGATCCTACAGAGGGGCTTCAACAATCGAAATCTTGGCCGTGGCACTCGCAAAAGTACGTAAATATATGGATCCAGGGTAAAGTGAATGCATAAAAGAATATCGGCTACGACATGGAAGATGCGAATGCATTTCCGTACAGTGACCGCCGTTTTAGGTAACTGCAGCGCGAATTGAGCCAATGGAATAGAAATCTAGATAAGGAAATAAAAACAATTTAGCAATTTAGAGTTTAATATTAAATTAAACTAATAAATATTTGATTTAATTATTGCAGATAAAATATTACAAAGAAAAATCTTCAAGAATAGAGAGATGCATTTGTGTGTGCAACTATTATTAAATCTTTTTTTTACAAAAATTTTTATAAATAAAATAGATTATATATATAGATATATATATAACAATAACGTTCCTAATTTATAGAAAAAAATATTTGTTGAATCTATTTATTTTGCGAATTAATTTTCTCTACGCGTAAAGTTTTTCGTCACTTGGCAAAACCGTCAACAGGATGAAATCACTTCAGAGACGAATAGAATATTGGCTCGCGGATGTCTCGATGGCTTGTACGTGAAACTATTCTCAAATATCCATCATTTACCCTCGACCTTCAGTTATAGCGGAAGCGCGCGATATTTTTGTACTGGTTAGATGTAATAAATAATAATGATTATTATTTCCTGCAAGAAGATGCTCACTCTAAGTCAATCAATTTATTTAAAAATACAATGTAACTATTTACGTTCTATCAGACTATTTATTTGATATTAATATACTCTTCACATTATCTACTTATTACTAGTAATCGTATTGTTATTATATTTCCTGCTATTTCTCTTTCTTCTTATTATCATTATTACTTATAATTAGAAAATTGTAGCAACAGTTTATATATCTATATTTAGTAATTTTTTCATTTTTTATCTTTAAATAATATCTTCTTTAAAAAAAAAATCTTCTCGATAAAAACATTTTTTATGTCATCGAATGACATATGAAAGCGTCGAGAATCATTTTGTTATAAAAATCTTTCATCTCTTCTTTCATCTCAATGCTATCAAGATTAAAATGGACGAGCATAAACGTCGTAAATATAACAGAAAACATTCGACTAAAACAACACTTTGCAGGCAAATCACATGCAGGCAAATGTCATGGACGCTACACTATCGAACTCCTGGATCGGAACTGCCGAAAGTAGAATCTCGTGACAAAAATTTCTCAAGGCTACATGCTATAGTTACGACGAGTAATGTACTAGTATGTGAAAAGGAACTTGTATTTCAACCAAGGACTTCCCTCTTAACTTATACAAGAGAGGAAAAATGATAACCATCCTTCATGGGAATTACGTAACGATCTTCATTCTACGATTCGATACTGTTTACTGTCTAAAGATAGACATCAACCTACATCTATTACCTGAAACCTTCAACCAATCCTTACTGCATGCATAAGACACGTAAAAGATCGATTTAATTGATCTGTTTCCTCTTTTGCTTTGACTGCTATTTTATTACTTTTAACTGTTAGAGTCTGATGATATAGATAATCGTGTATGAAATGGAAGGACACATCAATGAATGTGTATGATATATATTCATGCCTTTTCTAAATATAAAAGAATGATAAGAAACAGGAAAATACTTTAAAAGAATAAAAGAATATTATTTAATTACATTAGGTTTTTTTACTTGATAAGATAAAATCTATTTTCTGTAATTTATTATCTTACTGATGTATTTCTTATCATTATTTTACTTTTTACATTAATTATTTATATTTTACATTAATTATTTATTAATTGCTTTTTTACCCAGTTTATTATAAATTTAAGCTATAATACATAATTATAATTAAGTCGATAAACTTACCATTTGTGGCATCCAGCAGATAACGAATGATATCGATAATACAGCCATAAGCCTTGCGAATGCTCTTTCTTCAGTCGTAGCAACCATTTCCGGTTGATTTACTGGTCTGGCTACGGTCAGCAAAGGTTTCGCTCTTGATGAAGCTCTGGAGATTCTCCTAAGGGCAATTGTACGACGACTCAGTTTACTCAAGGCCCTAGAAACCGCCAAGTTGCACCAGACAATGGACAAACACAAAAGAGTACCTATAATTGAAAAAAAATTTAATATTTATTAGTCTGAAAATAATTCTTTTACAATTGGATCTTTTTTGCTAACCGGAAACATAATTATAATTATATTTATAGTAATTATTATGTAAATGTTGATGTGTTTATAGTATAATTAACAAAATAAATTAATCTACAAAATAAATAATGTTATATTTTGTTAATTATTAATAATTCTTTTTTTTTATTATCTTATCATCTATGCTTACCAAAAACGAACCATACATAAGCATAAGCGATATCACTCGGCTCGGTAGCCTCTCGGTAACGCATGCATTGTTCGCCTTTATAATATAATCCGAAGCCCATAACTGGAAGACTAGTCATTGCCAATGCGACCAACCAAAGCGCCAACATACAACGCACAATTACCGGATACGTCACCTGCTGGAAGATACATGCGTGTCATCCATTAAGATATCGAGATACGACGATGCGGGTATCGACTCCTTGCTGAACTTTTGATTACGATAGCTATACAAATTGAAGAAACCGGGAAAAACCGGCTTCGGTGTAATTTATTTTGCCACAGACAAAAAAAGGATACAAAAACTAGTAATCTTCATTTATAAATTTGTTTACAAACTTTTAGTCATTTTTGTTTCTATTTGTAAATCTGGAGAAATAATTTCATCTCTTCTTTATAAAGAAATATTTTTTAAGAAAATTAAATGCAATCTTTCATGAATAAGAAATGCTGTTATTAAATGTGCGTTAAGCCTTAAGCTCAAATCGCTAATATTGAGTCTTAGACATTCATCTATATAGATTAAGAATTTTCTATGTATTTAAATAATACAGGTATAAATTATAGACCATAATATATATTATAGAATTATAATATTTTTCTGGAAAAATCAAATTTGATGTTTCAGATTTACATCTCAGATATCTTCTTCTTTAACAACCATGTAGATTTTTTAAATTGAAATTATTAGATTAAATTCCTAAGGGAAACTTTTGAATTTATTATCTCCCGATACTCGCATAAATCTTCTATGTTACATGATCTGGATTTATGCGCTCGCCAATTCTTTGCTCTTCAGAGGCCTTTTGGAAAGGATAGAATTTTATCAAAGAACCAAGAAAAAACCGAGATATCAAAAAAGACCGATAATCTAATTATCACCAAATGATAATTCGTCCAATTTTATCATGTATTGTAACATGCGGTCTCATGACACATGACAACCAGGATAAGATGAAAATATACTGATGTCTAAAGTTTTGTTAAGTATTTATAAGTAGGTCAACATGCGAAAAATATACGTTCGTGACGCCTTGTTTTGAACTACGAACCACGTCGTTCAAAGCATTTCGAAAATATCGTTTCGCGTAAAATCTTACGAAATTCTCAAGGGCAATTGTCTCTTAAAATCGATGAAAACGGTATTTGTATCAAATTAAATTGTCCAAGATTGACCAGAAATCATGCTGGCGTCTGATAAATCTATCGATTCTTATTCGTATGCGTCTTTATATCAGTTTTGCATGATCCGTGCGTAGAGCGATATCTCGGAACTATATCGCAATCGAAAACATGACCTATTTATTAGTCTTTTAAGATATTTAAGAATAATCTTTGTATGTATTTATAAATTTAAAATTTTATTAATCTACAATCTACTATTTTCGTGTTTTTATGAACAAACATAGATTTAAATAACGCGCGTTGCAAATTATTACTTTAATTTAATAGCATTTTCCTGAGAATATTTCGAATTATAGGTGGGGTTTTCTTGGAAAAAATAATATTTGATGAAGGGCGACACATAACTGTAGCGGTAATCATCTCCAATTACTTGCAATCTTGGATACTGCGTCTGAATAAGATGATCACGCTGTGTAAATTGACGTCAGCTTCCATCGTTCCGCGATCAATACTTCCTCAATTAATGATCGTGAAATTATTCGAATTTATTAATTTGCCGAAACGGCATTTCCTTGTAGTCTTAGTAATCCTATATCAACACGCAGTTGTATTTCAAGCAAAAATAGATTTCTAACTTCGTCGATCAATCGTTCTCCCTCCTTTTATTCCATCTTTATGGTAAAATACGGTCGTTCTATAAGCGTCTGTCTTAGCTTTGGAGTGGCACACGTGTATAAATTTTCTCACACGCGTCAGTTTGTTCGGATTAAACGAAACCATGTCGTAAATTATAACGTGCAATTTACTTTGGTAACACGCTTAGTGCGTTAACTTATGGTCACAATAAATATAAAAGAGAATCCGTTTCTCTAATAGATTACACACGATCGTACAATTTCTTTATTTTCTTTATTTAATTTGCATAAAGAAATTAACTAATTCATTTTTTTTCTGTATAAAAAATTATCTGCAATTTGTAAGTACATCACCATTACTATATTATCTTAAACTTAGGCTTACCTTTTGGTAAACAAAAGGTCTCGTCAAAGCTAACCACCTCTCCGCCGCCATGACGATGGCGACGCAGCCGCTGAAGAGACCAAAAAGTCGCCAAACTACCCGCAGAGAACAAAATATTCTTGTGGATGTCACACCGTCCGCATAAATTGTAACATACATCTGTACCAACATCCCCAATAACGCCACAAGATCGTTGGTTGCCAGACAACGCAGCATCAACAGGTGCTTGCGATTTCTTCTCTGAAATGAAACAAATTTATTCATTCTATTATTTTTTACTATGAGGGTAACACATTTTTCGCTAAAACAACATTAAGTTGACAAAAACATATTTTTGCTATTATATGTAATAGAGAAATAGAGAAATTTTTTATATGAAATTATTTATATTAAATAATTTATATAATTTATTAATAAAATATTGATAAATTTGTATTTAACAAGAAAAACAATTATTTTTGACCAAACCAGCAATTTATTATAACGTTCACATATATGATGTTTCGACTGTTGTTTTTGGTCCTTCTCACTTTAAAAATAAAGCGAAATCATAAATACAAAGGAACACAGATATCAAACCATAAACTAAAAGGAAAGGATCGGTACCTATGTCATAAACTTAAAAATAGCTGCTCGAAGCATCTTATTAGTTACGAATTTTTTCCCGGAAATTTATATCTAAAAGATAAATTAAAAATTAGTCAGAATGATAACACCAAAAAGTTTTTAGATATGAATTTCCGGGAAAAAACTTGTAACTATTAATAAGATGATCCGAGCTATTTTTAACTTTATGACATAGGTACCGATTTTTTCCTTTTTGTTTATGGCTTGATATCTGTGTCTCTTTATATTTATGATTTCGCTATTTATTTTTAGAATGTAGAATTGATAAGGACCAAAAACAATGATCAAAACTTTATATGTGAACGTTATAATAAATTGTCAGTGTGGTCGAAATAAATTGTTTTTCTTGCTAATCACTACTGACGAAGAAAATAATTACTTCGGTTTATTTGTATTTATTTGTTTATTAAAATATATTTAATATAATTTTATATTTATTGAAAACTGTTCTACAAAGAAAAATTGTAAAACGTTCTAATAGTATTATATATAGAAAAGGTTTAACTTTTTGTCGGTGGAATCAAGTTTGGATCGATCATTGGACTTAATATACCATCAGTGATCAAACATTAAAAAAAGCATTTTTATTTGTTTCGCGTAATCAATATTTGGATTTAATTAAATGGCATTATTCTCAAAGATATTCCTAATAATATATTAAGATCTTAATTTAACTAACCCAGCTAAAAAGAAAATATATTAAATTTGTGTATATTAAAAAAAAAAATACTTTAATAATAGAAATATAATAAGTAAGTCCCTTATTAGATATACTTTCAATTATAAACTACAAACAAATTTATTTTGAGAAAAATGGCATTATAATTTATGTAATATATAATTTCTTTAATATTTGTTTTATTAATAACAGTTATTACAATATATTACAAAAACTCATTAATTAATACATTATAATAAGCATATCTACTATAAAAATTATATTAATTAATATGAAATAAGATCATTTATCAATTTATTTATATTAATAAGCTGAGAAAATCTTGTGAATTACCTTGTCCCGATGGAAAAGTATTACCAGGGCAGACACGTTACCAATGACACCGGTTATGTAGACGAGGGTCAATATAAGCTGAGATACAAAAGTTACATGTCTCTTTCGCGCAACACTTGTCCCTATGTTAGTCATCATCATCGTCTTATTAAACGCAAAAGTTAATAAAGTATCGTTCTGCCAGTTATCCGCCAACATGATTACGATATGTGGTTTTAGGAAGATACGTGGTTTTCGGGACTTTCCACTTATTTATTGTTTCCTCAATTTCGTCGAAGAACTTATCTTAATGTGACGTAAAGCGTTACTATAATGAAGTATAGTATCCAGTATACAGTCACAATGGCCTGACTTTATCAATGCAGACAACTGACATTCACATCAACTATAATCCGATGTAAATCATCCGTAACTTCTTTTTAAAATATGTCGATTTCAATTCTTACTTTTCTCATGCGTGATTATTTTTGTTCAGTTTAAAATATTAGCATCAATCGTATTGTATAATCACTTATGTATATATATATATATATATATATTTTTATAATATATATATTTTTCAAGTTTATATAGATTGGCACTATGGATCCAAAGAAGATGGATAGAAATTTCTTCTGTCATCTACAGAATGCTCATTACATTACGTTTACGCAGTCTCAGTTCGTTGCACTTTTGTCTTCACGTTCTAAAAGGTATACAATAACTTGTTGTTGCTACTTGTATAAAAATTCTTGTATAATGATTCTTGCATGTTCAATATTTTTTTGCAATATTTGCAGCAACGTTTTCAAGAAGAATAATTAAAATAGGATCAACAAGATATTCTACATGTCTGCAAAAGTATAATAATTTATAATAGTTACTACATACTAATTGCAAAAGATAAAAACCAGAATTTAAACGCAATTAATGACAAAGATAATTAATTCTGGGGAAAAGATTAAAATTGAGAAGGCTCTGAGAGAATTGTGGATATCGCAATTAAAACTTCTTAACAATGAAGGATTATAATATGATAGAATGATTTTAAAGCTTATTAATCACAAAGCTATTAAAGCAATCTAAAGATTAAGATTACAAAAATTTTAAATGTTTGAGAATATTATTTCTAATAGTTTAGTTTTATAACGGAATTTTATAGTGTAATATTTACGCACAGCGTGAAAATTCCGAACAGTTGTATTCACAGCCAATTTTAACAGTCACTTTTACGATACAGTTATTGTAAAAATCTCCAAATATTTTGAGATTCTGTAATTCCTCGAATTTTTTCTAATAGAGATTTTAACGCGGAGGAAATTGCAAGCTTAGAAAATCGCATCTCTCCGTAAATTCAATCCTTGAAGCTCTTCCAATCATTCGCCGTCTCATCTGAGATTCTTCAAGACGATAATCTTGCACGGTTTCGCTTGAATCGTTGTCTATTAATCCGGACTTTTAATCCGATTTTCGTATCGATAAGCAACGCCGATCACCCGTCGCGCTCTTCTCGTCGCAGGAAATCCTGGAGAGCCAACGATCGACGACGCGAACTTGCGAATCTTTCGATTGAAAATAGATAGAAACGAGAATTTCAGAGGATATCAAGAGATTCCTTCGATGAGTGGAGTCATCGCTTGACTGATCGTACCCACGCGGTAGGATCCAGTTTTGTTTACTCCCGAAGACCGACTTAATCGTATTGGCGCCTGCGCGGAGTCTTCAAGAGTAATCGTCCAGAGAAGTCATCCATCATATATTTATTAATAAAATTCATCAGAAGCGTCACCGACGCAAACGTTAGATCAGAGTACACAATTTAATTAAATTATTATACAATTATTTTCACGAAATTGTTTGCGTGCTATTTTAGTTTTGATAAGTTTTAGAATGCACGATATTATTTTATCGAAAATAATTGTGAGTCAAAATTTTAATTTTATATCTTCTATTAATAGCAACTAGTAAGAAGACGATATACTAAAATCATTTATGTGAGTAAACAGTTTGCCTTTCGGTGGATGTCTCGCAAACGGATTCAAGCAAATTCCAATTCGTTGGCATGCGGATAATTATGAATAATGTATGTTACACGTACTTTTTTGTATACAAGACGACGCACCAGTCAATAAATAATTTCAAGCACGGAAACGATAATGCGCTAAACAAACGATGCAGAACACAATGAAATGCATTCCTAGCAAGGAATGGCAATAAACTTTGCGCGGATCTGTCAATATCTCGGTGCAATCCAACTGTGATAGAAAGAAATATATCTAGTTTTGATTATCAGTCAAGAATTAATTTGTTAATTTCAATAAATGTTGATAGAAGAATTTTTTAACAAAATACGTGTTAAATAGTCTGACAAATAAATGAGCATTGCAGATCAACTGCATATAATTATGGAGTCCCGCTATATAAAGATCACGACAAAATTAAAATACTAAAAGATAAAGAAATCAAGTTTGTTTTAGTAAAATTTATGCATTTACACATCTACGATGTCATAATAAATTTTTAATTTTCTCAAGTAATTTCGATTTAGTCACTTCTTCTCCTCTTCTTGTTTTTTTCTTTCGATATTTTGAACATATTACTGTCTGATTTGATGACTTATTTTAATTGGTTCACATTATATCAATTTATTTAATTTTGTAAGATTTGTCATTTTTTTAAATATCTTATTTCTTATATCATTACAATACTTATATAAATGTTGCTAAATTTTGGGATTACCAGAAATATATCGGTATCCTATAATCATTAAACACTGTTAAAACAAAGGTCATTATGTTATCTTTATGCTATTCATGGAGTGGTTATTATTAAACTAAGTACGCATATTACACGAGATTTCACAGCTCATGAAAATATCATGCGGTGGAAACCAGTATAAACGGTATCATTTACATTGTGGAGTGTTGATCAGTTTATTGATGTTATCGCAAAGATTTTAGTGTCTGCTTTAATCCTCCAGTGTAATATTTCAATAAAGAAGACTAATAATGTATCTTAATGTACTTTTATTTGCAGCGATAAATACTTTAATTAAATTTCTTTTTTGTCTTAGATTACAATATCTCAATATAATCCAGAAAAAGACTTGTACAAAAAATAAAAAAAATTACGAATCAAAATAAAGCGAAATGATAAATTCTTAATATAAGACTTTTAATAAAAATTATGTTTAATATGCAGTAAGTAAATTTTTAAATTTTATAAAATGTAATAAAAAATTATAAAATAAAGCACTTATATAAAACCGTAAATGATAAAACAAGAAATATAAACATTGTTAAAAATATTCTTATGGTAATTCTTATTTCTTGTTATAAAGCAATTCTTTTCTCATACAATTACTAACAATTTGTCGTGAGACGTTAACAGCGCGAACGAATCATTTGTATTCTTGCGAGCCAGAATGTGCTGCTTAAACTCAAGGTTCATCTTTACATGGTGAGCCATAAACATACAATGGTCGATACTGAAGCTAACGAGGAAATTAATTTAAATAATGCAGTTGCAATTGGTGTCATTCTTGCATAACAATCATTTAAAGTGTGATGCACACAACAACTTTATGATCTGGCAAAATTATTTTTATTTTCTATCACTGATATAACAATCAGCATTAAACTATTGAATTATTTATACAATAAGTAGATGGTAACTATACAGACTTATACATAATTTTTAATTGTTATAAAAAAGATATTTTTTTAAATTAAAATAAATTATGAAAGAGAATCAAATTAAATTGTTATTTATTACATAACATCAGCGATCATTATTACAATAAATTTAACAATATGCACAAATATTCCAATTCAAATGTAAGGAATAAACAAAAAATTAGATAGAAGAAACAAACAAAAAATTTTTAATAATAATAGTTAAATTAAATTCGCCCAGATCGGTTTTAACATTTTTTTTTTATTAAGCGGTATCCATAATTAATGTAGAGAATCTAAGTTGATTTTTAGTACTTTTTGAATTAAAAAAAACCTAAATTTGAGAAAGTTATAGCTTGCTAAAATTTCTTTAATGACAGCAACTTCAAAAGATTTTGCATATAAAGTATGACGTCACAGCACATTTTCGTGTACTATATTTTCTTCAATTTTGAAGATATTGCAAAAATTCAAAAAGTTTACAAAAGAAAGTATGCCATGACCTATTAGACCGCTTGATAAAAAAAATTTATGTTAAAACCGAATTTTAATGCATGCTGCTTGCGTAAAAAACTCTCTTTGCTGTAGACAAACTGATCGTTTCCCAGATGTCGGAGTTTTCCATATAAGTCATCATTCATCCGACAACAATGCATTTTGCAGTTTCTATTGTTTCTAATACACAAAGGGCATTAGAAACTGAAACTAAATCGAAATGGGCCTGCAGTCGTGCAGTCTATGTGTTGGACATGTTACTTTAGAAATGAGAGAGACACAAAGAGAAAGAAAGAGAGCGCACGATAGTTGTGCTCCTCCCTCGATATAATCCGAAGATATAATTCTTTATGTGTTTCTTAAGCCTCTTGCACACACAATGCTGGGCAACAGGCAATAGGCACAGAATTTCCAACGTGACGAAAACTCTGTGTCTATTGCCTGTGGCACTGTTTATTTTGCATTTATACATGATTTCTGATTTCTATTCCCTGTTCCTATTCCCTGTTGCCTAGCATTGTGCAAGGGGCTTTACATGTAAGACGCATGCAAAATTATTCTAAAGAATTTAGGCATTTTATGAAATAAAATTTGACGTAACAAATTTTATGTAATAATGTGATACATAAATGTACTCTATTTTGATAGTTATATCGAGGGATTTGTACTTTCTAAAGAATAAAAAAATCTACTTTTTATATTTCCTAAAAATATAATGTCTGGAGAATGTTTTAAGATTGAAAACTTCGCAAAATTAACAGAGTTACAAAGCGGAATTTCTTTTTCATTTTTTTCATCTTTCTTCTTTTTCTTTTCTTTGTTGGAGAGAAAGAGAAAAAAGATGAACAATGCAAGAAGTTCATCTGAAAAGAATAGGCCTATTCATAAAGTTATTTATTATTTTGCTCCCCATGGCGCTGAATTGTTCCATAGATACACGTCAAGAATAATGGATATCACAGTGTGGACACAGAGTTATCGTCTGGGGGCTGCGGTGTTGACGCGCACAAGACATCGCTCGGGCTCTTGTCCTCCAAGAGGGGTGTGTGCGCACGATCCTCGTCTGCATACGGCTTAGGTGAACGCGGCGGCGTGTTCACTTGTTCAGCACCATCTAAACTGTCGTCCAATGTATGTATTGCATTTAAATCGACATTTTTCTCAAATGCGGCCTTATAATTACCTGGTGTAAGCGATATAGCCATGGGATTATTCTTGGTGACAATCGTCTTGCTCCAAATCGGATGAGCCATCCAGCATCACCCATTCGTCGTCGAGAGGCGATTTGTCTGCTGCAACAACCGCCGATGCGGATTCCTGTTCGTTCAGCTTGATATGAACGCACTCGCTCTCGAAATCAGTGTCCGATTCGAACTGTGCATGCTGAGGAGGTTTAGCCAAAAAAACTTTATTGATGCTATTATCCATACTATTCATAGCATCAATGAGTTCCTTCTCGATCTGTGTTTGGCATATAATTTCGTCGTAATCGGTATTTCCCAGGCGCCGTATTCTCCTGCCTCCCAAAAGGATTTTTGTAACCAAATTTGTATTTGAAATGGGCCCCAGGGTCTCCGTATTTGCATTCGTGTGCTGTTCCGTGTCTGAACGTGCTTCGTTGGCCTCAGACGATTGCGCGCAGTGCCGCTTAACCGGGAAGAACTCGTACTCGTGCTCGTCCGCGTCCGAATCTTCGTCGTCGCTCGCCATTATCTCTACTTGCGACTTGTCATCGTCCACAACGGTATGCGTGCCAGGAGTCTCGACACGCGCTTCATCGTCGTCGTGGTCACCGTGGTCATGCAGCATTTCTTCGTCCGCGTCGCAAATGTCTCTGTCACTCGGTCGGACACGATTGTTTACGTCACCATCGTTCACTATCGAGTCTACTGGGCAGACATTGACATTGTCGCTGTTAGAATAATTGTTGTCATTCCTGTCGTTATCGCTGCTGTGCTTCTCTGCTTCCACCGGTGACTTTTCGCTCTCAAGGGAGAGATCGAGCGACGACGATGAGGCGAGAAAGTTGTTATCGCGCACATCCTCGTCGTCGTCGTCGTCGTCGTTGTCGTCGTCGTCGTCGTCGTCGTCGTCGTCGTCGTCGTCGACGTCGTCGTCGTCGTCGTCGTCGTCGTCGTCGTCGTCGTCGTCGTCGTCATCGTCGTCATCGTCGTCGTCGTCGTCGTCGTCGTCGTCGTCGTCGTCGTCGTCGCGCAGCAATCGCAGACCACTGTCGACAACTTGTTCTGTCTTGCGCAGCAATCTCCGAATTTTGTCGGACGGGTCTCGAACATCTTTGTTATTCGATTGACCATCACGATTGTCTACGTCGTCATCGTCTACTACCGAATCCACCGAGCAGACATTCGCATTGTCGCTGTTAGAATAATCGTTGTCATTCCTGTTGTCATCGCTGCTGTGTTCCTCTGCTTCTACCGGCGACTTTTCGCTCTCGGGGG